AGTCGACGCACTCCGGGTGACTTTAAGCTGACCTCCTTAGCTTGGGGAGTGTGCTCGGCGAGTCGCTAAGACCTCTGGCACATAATCGAGCTTTCTTTGCGTTTTAGGGTATAGCCCTAGTTTGACCCTTGTAGTTGCAGAGTTGAGTCCGATTTGACATTGCAGGGAGGGTTCTTTTTCTGGTACTTAGGCGGCCCAAACACCGAAACCCTCTCTTACTTTTTATCCCAATAGTCCAGACAAGAGAGAGATGGTTGTTGATGCCCATGCTCCGAAGCAGGTCAAAGCCAAAGCCGGAAAGGAAAACTCAGAAGGCTGAAGGGGGCTCGTACCGAGCTCCAGGCAGCTTTGAATACAAAGGCAGGTGCCTGGCAAAAAGCTAATTTGGAGGGGCTAAGGGGGGGGGGTGTTGGTAGCAGGCCAAAAGTTCAATTTTGGTGGACCCCTCCTACCCTCCCCCCTCTCCCCCCTTCTTCGCCTTTCCTCCCCTACCTTCCCACCCTTCTTTTGTTTGCTTACGCAGAGCGGGCCGTCGCGATGCATGGAAGTCGAACTAGCATATTAGATGCTGTATGTCCGATCGCAGGAGGGCTGCGAAACGCTGATCCGATTTACTGCGGCCTTGAGCACATCAATCACTGGGTCGATGAGGCATGCATACGTACATGTTGCATTAGATCATGTTACAGCATATGATGTTAGTTGTGGTATAAGTGACCACATGCCTAAGAACAAGTTCTCGAACTACCTGCTTTGCTGCTCTTAGCGTGGCCACACTGTAGGACATAGGGAGAAAGGAGCAGAATAGCTAGGAACAGACGTATCGGAAGCTAACATATTCGCCGTCGATCCTCATGGCGCTGACCATGGACCGCCTGGCCCGAGTCATGATGAACTTTCGCAGGCAGAGCGAAAAGAGGCATTCCGAAACTGTGTGTGGAGAAAGCTTACGCATATATGGGGCGGTATGTCCATGTGTTTGAACATGTGTTTGACAGCAGGCTGCTTGGTGATGCAACTGCTTAAGCAAGTCTAGCGGCTGGCATCCGCTGACGCAGTGCTGGTGTTACTTCTTGACATCTCATCACGTGAACTTTAGCATTGAGACACCCGATGCATGACGTTTTTACCAGAGCGACAGAACCTGATATTCATTGTTCTTGCACTGCCAGGTCTTACCCGACGAAGCAGACGTAGTCCAGGCCGTGCGGTAAAAGAGGAGGCAGGGATTGACACGCCTTCGGGCCCGTTTGTGATCTCCCTTCCCCCGGCTGCAGTGCGGGGGAGGGGGCGTTTGTCTTTTGATCAGGGTGAAAAGGCGGCCGTGCTGCGATCTTTTGACTGCTTGCCTGCTCCAACATTGGGGATTCAAGCACAAATACGGCCTGGTTTAAAGTTGTGCGTCTGGTCTCTGGTCGAAATTGTTAGAATTGAATCAGACATGTCAAAGCAATCAATACGTGCGCATATTCCTTCGGTAAACTAAGCTCGCATGTTCTCAATCTCAAACTTATGTCGCTTCCTATGAGCCCGGGATGGCACGGGGTTTGGGGATGTATGGCAAAAGTAGGGGCGAAGGTTAGGGGTTTCAAACTTCGGGTATTAAGTTTGGGAGTTTTTGGGATTGAGAGGTGAGCTCCAGATTTTGGGTGTCGACTCTTCCGGGCTGAGTTCTGGGGCCCACGGTTTAAGGTTTGATTTTGGGTGCGATTCAGGGTTAGGGTGTAGGTCTGGGATGGTCTGGGTGTCGGCTTGTGGGACTGAGATATTTGCGGGTTCTTGACGGGTTATACAGTCCAAAGCCTTCAACCATATCCGGTGGATGCTCAGAAGAGAACAGGGCCCCACCATAACTAATAAGGGCCATATACAGGAATCCTTGACTTATGCATTGCAAAAGACCCCCTGTACATAAACGGTAACCCGAGACCTAAAACCCAAATTTCGGAATCCTAAATTCGAAACTCTCATAAACGGTAACCCGAGACCTAAAACCCAAATTTCGGAATCCTAAATTCGAAACTCTAAACCTAAACCCGAAATCTTGAGGCCCTAAACCCTGAACCCTAAGCCCTAAACCCCAAATCCCAGGGAAAAAAAGGCCACGAAAGCCACGGCGCAGGCGTTTAGGGTTTAGGGGATAAGGTTTAGGGTTTAGGGTCTCGAGTAACGCGATTTCAGGTGCCCACGTTGGAGCCAACGTCCAAACATTGTGTTTTGGTGGGTGTCTGTGTGCGTGTTCTTGGCTCCGGTACTTTGGTGTTTAATGAGCTTGTTTTGGGGGCTTACAAGCATGCGCGTGCTGAAGATAGATCTGTCTGCTCATCAGTAGAGCAGTACACACGTACCATTATAGAAACCCTTTTAGAACCCTAGGAACCGTATTCTAATCATTAAGGGCGGCCCTAAGCCTTACACGCCCCAAAACACAGAAAACCACCTGCCCTAAACTTTAAAGCCTCATAGCTTAGGTACTGCCCCCACTCAGTAACAGTTGAGTAATAGACATCATATGGACATGTAAGGCTCTTAATGATAGCCCTACTGTAGAGTGTTACTGTATGGGGGCAGTTACCCAACTCAGCTTTATTGGTTAGATAGTATACCCTTAAAGAAGCCCTTACGAGCCCTGTAAGGGGGACCCTATAGTCTAATGATGAAGGGCCGCTTTTTGATAGGCCAAGACCTCCCCGACCGCTCCCTGTGGACACCTTGAGTTCCTCATCAAAGTCTCCGCTTGAAGTGCTGTGGGTTTTGGGTTCAGGGTTTAATAAGGTTTAGGGTTTTGGGTTAGGGTTTAGGTAAGTTTAGTAGGGTTTTAATGGGTTAAGTCGAGTCGAGACTTGCGGGGCTTAGTCGGGCGGGCTTAGAAGGGGGGTTGCAGGGTTTAGTATGGTTTGCGGGCCTTAGTAGGGGTTTAGCGCTGATTTGCAGGGTTCCGGAGGGCTAAAGAAGGGATTTTGCAGGGTGTAATAGGGTTTTCGGAGCGCTTGCTCGCCGATTTGGGGTTTAGGGGGTTTAGGGTTTCCAGCCAGGGAAACCCTCAACCGTTATCCCTCAACCCTGGCCCGGGACCCCAGGGGTTTTTGAACGCTAATGCGAAACCCGAGACAGTTGATTCTCAGAACTGAGTTTCCGTACATACAGCCTCAACTAAGATTATCCACTTGTTCGTAGAGTGATCATACGCTTAAACGAAAAAAACAATCTACACATTTTTCTCGGAATACGACCTGAGAGGCTAACCCTGTTTTTTAAGGCTTACTGTGAGGGTTATGAGTTATGAGGGTTTCCTCAACCCAAATTAAGCATGAACCCTAAACCCCTAGGCCCTAAACACTTGAAAACGCAAACCCGACACACTTGATGGTGAGTCTCTCCTGTAATCAGGGCACACCGGGGACCCTCATTTCGGAGGACCTACCCAGACCAGAAGCTGGATGCTTCGAAGAATGCCTTCCCCACAACCCAAATTAGATACCTTACGCTGTAAACCCTAGCCCGAGCCATATACTGGGAGGAGCCCCAAACTCCGAATTTCCTAAACCGCAAACCCTGAACCCAAACTCAAAGCCCCAAGCCTTAGATGAAAGTGCCCTCGCCAAGGCGTGCCATGGAGAGCGCTGAGTATTCCGCAGCAGTGGCAGCAGCTTCGTTGAATGTCACATTTCTAGGATTCTAGGGTTTAGCAGTCAGAGTGTAGAGCTTATATATAGGCTGCAGGTTGCATGCGTTAGGGATTAGGGCTTCCAAAACATGCTGCAGACATTGCCGATGGCAGCGGCCACATGGTGAGAAGCTAATTGTCCTCATGCCCTTGACCATCGAGAAGACCAGCACTAATCATCCCTTCCAGTTTCCAATTTGTTGCGATCGGCTGCATAGCCTGCACTGTAATTGTATCTTCTGGCTCGCCAGTTTCTATTTTAAGAATCAGGCTCAATTGATAGTAGTCATGCGATTTCGCATGCTGTGATCGCCCCTACATTCTGAGAGGGCGGGAGCGAGAGAGAGAGAGAGAGAGATCTTCGATACAGTTCAATCATTGGCTAAAGCTTCCCATCCCTCAGCATGTACGCGACCCCGCAACGGTCCCAACATTGCTATTGGGGTCTTGGCTAAAGCCAGTCTTGCGTTACCTCTCGGCACAAATGCCTCCCGAATAATGCTTAATACTAGAGGATTCTTACATTCTGGTGCCTCGTTTGCAAATTGTGCAACGAAGGCCCGAAAAGCAATTGGGCTTGGTTGCCGAGGCTGTGTCTAAACACACCCCTGAAACCTAAACCCTAAACCCAAACCCGAGCAAAAAACCCTACACCCTGAACTTCGAGAACCCTGAACCCAAATCCCAAACGGTTTAGGGTTTAGGAGCCCTAAGCCCGTAACACGCCGGCCTGCTGCTCCAGTCCACACCGATGGTTCGCAGTCTTGCAGGGATGCAGGCCGCGCAGGGGTTTCAGAAACGTAGGTTTTATTGGCAGATGTACAACGGTTTCAGAATGTTTTTGTCAGGATTAGTCACTAAGGTTGTTTGTAGGGCTGGTAAGAGTTGCCAATTGAATGGTTCAGGAGCAGGGTTCGTGGCCCAAACACTTAGTCGGTAGCAGTAAACAAGAATCCAAATGAGAACATGTTGTAGTCATGGCGATGTCAGTGTCATCTTCATCCTAATTGTTCCTCAATGCCAGCGTGGAACAGCATTATGACCAAGGTAATTGTTACTGGTAATCACTGCTCAATTGGGTACATTTTTCTAGGTTGCTTGGGAAGTATGTTTGTATTGGTCAGAATGAAACTCCTAGCGGTTGTAAGCACGTGATCATTATTTGGGTTCTACAGGTGCATACGTTTTCTTGCAGGCCTGTTATTTGAGTATCCTACTGTTTCCTAAACCCAGGAACGGCGCCCTCAATTTAAGCCTTGGCGTTCCGCGTACTCCTGCATGCCCCTGCCCCGGCTGTGAGCCACCATCCTCGAACGCCTGTGCCGTCTTCCAGGGTCGCGACGCATGGCCCGGAAGCAAGTGCTGGCTATGCGGGCTCTACGGGGCCTGGCCCGAGGGACGATCCTTATCCTGCTGTGACCCCGCTGAGCATTGGTCCGCCGGCGCATGCTGGTGGCCCTTCTCCACCACCTCCGGGTTTGGAAAGCACCTCGCCACACCCGCCCTCTTCCAAGGAGCGAGCTCCGCGGGAAGGTGCCAGACAGGATAAAAAGTCTGCCTCCAAGACACCTCCGCCCTCGGCTGCCAGACACAGCCAGATCGAGGACAAGTTACAAGCCAAGAGGCATGCCATGTCTGCCTTCGGTTTATCGGGCGGTGCTCCATCTGCTACTGTGCCCCGCATTGTGGCGGACGACGAGGACGACATGGATCAGATGTTGGATGCAGCCGCTCCTGGGGCAGTTCATGCTCGCCCTCCGGACGAAGCAGACCTTCTATAGCTGTCTGTGTGCGTATGATGACAGCCATGTGTTGTCCTGCAGGTGTGAATCTTTTCCAAGAGGAGACTTTGTCGTCCTCTATCCACTGTCATGGGGTAAGGGGCCAAAGAGATGTATCGGTGGCTCAGGGACATCCTCCTTCCCCATGCAGTGATTGCCCGTGTGATGCCTGTGAGCGGCTAGTTGCTGCATTTCTTCTGTGCCTCGCGGACTTTCTCGTCCCGTTTGGCCGCAGCCTTCTTTTCTGCCTGTTCCTTTCACTGTTGCGGCTCCTCTCCCTGGCGCGGCGCGGCCAGCCAATGCCCTTTGGCATCCTTCTCCGTTTGCCCCTTGCTGGCGCTGATCCGCTCCTCTGTGTGTCGCTTGGCAGTCCTACAACTTCAGTTTCTTCGCTGACTTGGCCCAAGTAGTGTACGTCGCAGGGGATGTTGTCCCACGTTTGGGCAGGCCGGTTCAAGAGCTACTGGGATACGAGGTCGCTTTTCATGGTGTGCCTTCGTGATGGCCTTTCTGAGCGTGCCGTATCCTGATATCGACACGACGGTTGGCAGCTATGCCTTCTGCTTTGCTGCCCTGCCTCTTGCTCAGGCCATGACAAGGGCGGAGTCGGGTGTTGAAAATCCGGCCACCAGTCGCCGGCCCCATGCCATAAGTCCCGATGCGCTCACCTCTCAGGTGGTTTACGATCTGCCTGATGTTCCGTGGCATGATGCTGATCGGGAAAGGCGGGCTCAGAAATTATTTCCTAGAGGGTTGGATAACACCAGCCCCGTTGTCCCTGAAGGACCTGCCTTGGGGGTCCATTTGTACACCCCGCACTGTAAGCCTGTCAGCTTGTTTGTGAAGGCCCCTGAAGGAGCGGCGCTACGTACCATCATTGATACTGTTCTGGATTGTGCCCCGAGCGTGCCAGATGGTATTACGGACAGGGCCGTCCCTTTAGACCCTTTGAGACCGCAAAGGGTTGAGGGCTCTCTGTCCTTAATTCGGTTTCCAGGCATCATAGGTCATGCACATGATGGGGACGCTGCTATCGTAGTAGATTTGACTCATGCACATGGGGCATATTCTGCCACGGTGATGCCCAAATCCTTGTCATATGCCGAGCTGCTGAATTTTGTTGACCCAGCGGCTGCTGACGAGGATCCTCCCTTCTGGGTCTATATTGGCGGACGCCAGACCCCTTGGCCTTGTCAGGCCATGGTCACTCTACGTGATGGCGATGTTGTGACTGTCGTTCGCCATGGCATCCCTCCGCCTTCTAGGCCTTCTAGGCTGCTTGCTGAGACTCTTGCCAATCCTCGCACCTGGGGTCCGGCTGAGCACTTCTTTGAGATCGGTCTGCTCCCTAGCACTTGCGTCATGTGTGGCGGCAAACGGTATTGTGTTGCACCGCGCCACCACACTGATCAGACATTGATCCAACATACAGTGCAGAGTCTTCGGCTTGATGTGCATCGTATTGCCACGTGCACCTTTCGCACAGATGAGTTCGACGTTCGTGGCCACAATTGTCGATGGACCGTAGCTGTTGCAGACGTGCCGGCAATCGCTGACTCTGAAGCCTCGCGTTCTCGCCAGGATTTTTTCGTCTTGTGTGATTTGCGACCGCTTGGCCTAAAACCTGTTTTCCTGCATACTCACGCGCCCAAGATTCATGTGCCGAGTTTTCTTTCGGACTTTGGCATCGAGCTGCCCCCGGCGGTTCAACTTTGCATTCAGGGCGGTAAGTTTCGGCAGGATTATGTGTCCTTTAACGAGAGCTGCATCCTTCTGTTCTTCACAGTTGAGGCTGACCCATCTCTGAGGGATGATTCGAGCTCGGAAGCTGGGGCTGGCCACGAGTCCTACGAACCCAGTTCTGCCTCTCCCCCTCTTGATTTATCTGTTGATGATGAGGGGCTTGCAGATCTCCTAGTTGTAACAGCTGACCCCGGTGTCGCTGCTGGATTGATTGACCCGACGGAGTCGCAAACAGATGCTGCGCGTGCTTGGGACGCTGGTGACGAGGAGACGAGGGAGGTATTTGCTCCTGGTGGGTTCGCTTGTTCTTCCTGATACCGGCTCCTATGCCGGTGAGCACTGCTTCCCGTTGCCAGACGCTCCTGTCGATTACCAGGCTTCAGGTGTTGAGGCTGCACGTCAGGAGGCTGACACGTCCTCGCCTGTTGAACCGGTGGGTCTGCGTGCTTTTGTCTATGTGCCTGACACCATCCCCGAGATCCTGTCGGCTTCGGCGTTTCTCCCGTGCAGTGTTGATGCTGCGATTGGGACGCTTGTTGCGGCGCGGCAGGCCGCTGACATTCTTCGGTTCCCCAGGTTTGTGCCTGTTACGCCACAGCCCTTTGCCGAATGTGTGCTCGCTCTGGCTTTGCCTAAATTAGGTCAAATTGGCTCGGTTGTTCTCTTAGATTGCCGACGGATTAACCAAGCCATCTTTGCGAAGGTGCTCCACCCGCGGCTTAACCGAGAGTCGCTTTTGCTTGCTGCGGGTCAACCGCACGACAGCACGTGGGATATGTGTGTGTGTGTGTGCATGGCTTACTGCGCCCGCTCCAGCCTGGTCAGCTGATCTCTCTTCGCACGGGCATGTTGGTGTCGTTTGTGCCGAGTGGATGTGGCGCCCCTGCAACATACGACCTGGCAGCTCGGCTGCATTCCCAAGATGACTGGGACTCGGAATTTGAATTGCCGGGAGCCGGTTCCTATCCTGGGCAGTACTTCTGGGTTTTGACGGATGGGATGCCTACCTTTTCGAGGTTGGTGCCTGGCGTCGCCGGATGTTTGCGCAAGACTTGGCTCAGCACCTACAGGACAGCGTGCACTCTCTCGTGACTCTCGTTAGCATTCGTGCCCTGGCATGCTGTGTCCAGGTGCCAATGCCTTGGAGGGCCAGGAGTTTTCGTTGTGTCGTCATGTGGGGAGCCAGTTTGATTCATGATGCTCTAGCTGAGAGCCACTGGCCCTTCACCCCTGTCCTCCG